TAATATGGAATTCGTGGCATAACTAATGAACCAAAAATGGATATATTATTTACTAAATCTATACTTTTTTTTCAGATATTCTTGCTCTTTACTTGATCCCTTTTTTCTGTTTCAGGATCTCATCCAGGGTACCACATTATATTTAGTAATCCTGTCTCCCAAGACTCCCCTTGGCTGTCTCAGTTTTCTCTCACTTACCTTGTTTTCTTGCATTTGTAGTGTTTGGCAGGGTTTTCCACTGTACAGTTACTCTTTATTTTCCCCTTTCCATATTCTTTGGAAGAAGTACACACTTAAGGGATGGGTTGTTCCACCTTAAGGGAGGAGTATCTACCTAATTTTTAAAATTCTTCTGGTCATGATATTTGTATCTTCTGCCCAGTTTATTTATTTAATTTTAAATATCAGTGTGGATTTATGAGATATTTATTTTATATTTTGGATTATAATCCAATACTACTTTATATTGTTGGTAAAATTGTTCTAACTTTGGCCCTTTGGAACTCTTTAAGTTGGTTCCCAATGACCCTTTTAGGTACCCTCATCACTGTTTTGTTAGTTTTGCTATTTATTTGATATGTATTTCCATCCTTTCTAGCACCACAAGATGGTACTGGCTCATCTTGTGTATTTCCTACCCAAGTTCTAGAACTAGCTATTCTCCAACAAATTTTGGTTCCTTTAACTGGAGATTAGTATTAAAAACCAAGATATCAGTGCCAGTGCACGATTACCTTTTTAAGAAAAACTAATTTTTTAAAAAAATATTTTATTTATTTTTGAGACAGAGAGAAACAGAGCATGAGTGAGGGAGGGGTAGAGAGAGAGGGAGACACACAATTCAAAGCAGGATCCAGGCTCTGAGCTGTCAGCACAGAGCCCGATAAGGGGCTCAAACCTACCACCTGTGAAATCATGACCTGAGCCAAAGACAAACGTTTAATTAACCGACTGAGCTACCCAGGTGCCCCAAGAAAAAATTATCTTAAGTGATGAAGATTAATAAGATTATATTATAAGATTTAAACATTTTTTAAAACAGCAAATCTCAAACCTTTTTTCTCATGATACATTAAAAATTATTTAGGACCTCAAAAAGCTCTTATCTTGGTTACATGTATTTATATTTACTTAATTACAAAGAAAAATGAGAACACTTAAAATATTTATTTAATAGTCCTTTTAAATGAAATCATAATAATCTCAACACTTGTATGGATAATGAAGACATTTTTATGAAAAATATTTCCAGAAAAAAATTATCAAGAATAGTGTCACTACTTTACATTTTGAATGTCTTTATGATATTTGGCTTACTAGGAAAAAGCTGGATTATCAAATATGTTTCTACATTCATTCTTTTGCAGTTTGTTGTTTTGATTAAAGTCTATGAAGAAAATTTAGCCTCACACAGATGAATAATTAGAAACAGGATAACTATTTTAATGGATTTTTCAAATAATTTCAAATATATCATGTAGCTTCTGGAAAATCCACCATCTCTATGAGAGAATGAGATAAATGATATCTTAGTATTATTGTGAATAGAGTTTTGACTTTGTGTACTCTGAAAAGTCTCAAGTACTGTTTTTCACTTTTAGAGGAAAATAAGGGTCTACAAATTGAATCTTGTAATGTTACTTATTCACCATCAGTTGATTAATCAGTGATCATTCTCACAGGATGATTTTTAATTTACTTCATTGACAGAGAAGGAATTGGCATAAACCCTATACAGTTAGTGGTAAAATATTATACTAACTTCCAATGTAAAGTTAAGCAAAGCAAGTAAAATTAAGTAATTTATGATCTGACAATTCATCTTCACTTGGTCTAATTTTCTCTCTTATCCCTTTTCCATTTACTTTCTTCCTATTTGCACATTGTAACTTGTCTTACTGTCACATTCACAGTTGGGTTTAGGGCAGCTGTGTGACACGTCTGATGAGGGGTCACTTGGAGGCATTTCTTATGCTTTGCATTGACCATCAATCAGCCATGATGAATGCTCATGTGAGCAATTTCCACCATGAAAACACCTTGTGGGCACTTGAGAGGGAGGAAAGGCGGGTTTGGCAAGAATGAGGAGACAAGAGAGCAAGCCCAACACCAATTTTCTAAATTTGTTGCTCTGCTGGAATGATTGTGAGAGATGATGGATGACTGATACCACTCTCAAGTGTCTTTTATCCCTTAGGATAATTTTGCCAATTTTCCGGTGAACTTAAATGTCCACAGATGTTTGACATGAAACCTGCTGATTTGTAACTCAAAGGCTTTAACTGCCAAATTGTTGGAGAATGACAGTGGAAACTGGCAACTTGACTACAATTTCAGCAAAAGACCATTGTGTGTCCTGAAGATACTCTTGTAATTTGTTACTGGCACAAATGTCAGGATTAATGATACATATTTTTTTAGTAGATGAAGAGTAAGAATGGAATGTTAAGTGTTGTTGATCTCAGCTCACAATGCTGCACCCCCTGTGCTCTGCTGTTGACATTCTTTAATTTAAGGAAAAAATGTTAAAGAGGTTAGTTCAAAATTTTGCTATGTTTTACATTTATAAGAATGTGAATGCTAAAAAAGAATTTTAAAGGACATGAAATAATTTTTTTGCAAAAAATGATGACCACTTATATGAAATATATGAAATGAGTATGAGCTATAATGAAAAGGATGTGTGTGTAGTTAAAATACTGCTCTGAAATTTGTTGAAGAAGAAATTGGCCTCTCTGTAGCCCTCTGATGTGCAGACCTCATCACACTTTGATTCCTTTCTTTCCTTACTGCTCTGTTAGTGCTTTAGGCAGACAAATGTTTGGTGAAAAGACTTGTCTTTGTTTCCTCTTTATATCCTCCATTAAATACATTAAATATCATAACTGTAGGTCAAATCTTCTATGAAGAATACAAATAAGGAAACTTTATTTTCAAGTTTTAAAGTATTTATAGTGTAAATTTCATAGTGAATTTTCAATTGTACTCGTTTCTGAAAGATCCATGCTAATTCATTCTTTGTTGTCCTTTTAACATACTTATAAACATATTTACCCATAAGCTTACACAGTACTTCTCAATTTGATTGCATACTTGGTTGGGAATTTAAATATATATATATGTATATATATATATATGTTCTATTGCTATAGAATATATAGCACCACTACCACAACCAGAATACTGGGTAACTAAATAAAGTCATACTGCAAGCCAGTGGCAAAATCCAGATTCAGTAGCAGGTTGATCTAGATCCACTTTAAGTTAGGTGACAGACATTTTGTATTTTACAAAGCCTGCTGATATATATTATCTCACTTGATACCTACCTCATAGACTGTTTAAAGTATTATTGAGCTTATTTTATAGATGAATAAACAGGCTCAGAAAATTAAAATTGTTTCTTCCAGCTGGATCAGGTAATTTTAATTGAAATTATAATTATTAAAATTATAGTTGTAGTGTCACAGATTTTCTGTTTACACAATTAAATATTTTCCTTAGTATTGTTTCAGATTAAAAGAATTTAAAAAAAGCATTATATATAAATTCAAGACGATATATGCTTTTAGATTATCATAACCTTAGTGCAAAAAACCTGAAACTTTATAGAATTTATGTTTGCACAGATTCTGTCTTGAGATATTATATATTGCTTTCTATAGTTTATCTTGTGAAAGTTGCAGAATGATGGACATTTTATTTCTGATGTTGATTTAAGTGGACTATCTTGTCTACTTTGAAAAGAAAAAAAGAGAAAACATTGGAATGGACAAATGTTCTGATTCCAAACTCAGCTAGCTGAAATTACCTTGTGTGGAGAGAATGAGATTTCTTTCCCTTTTCGCAGGGTGACCATTTCCACTTGTATTTACAGTGAAGATTTGTAGTTTTGTGAGATGTTATCATATCCTGTATACTACAGGTGTTAAACATTTAAAGGTCAACATTTCAAAGAAATGTCTAAATTTCTATGCTCAATAGTGTTTGCATATGTTTTCTCATGCCCTTGAATTAGCCATGCATGCAGAAGACGCATGTGCAAACCATATGGCAAGAGATCTAAGTGTCACTTCTAAGAATCTCTTTCTGTAAGGATCTGGTTTGCACACAAGAACAATCACAGTTGAAGACTATGAAGACTTAGATTCCAAATGCCTGATCAAACTAAGTCATTGAATTTAGTTTTAGAATATAAGAGTAGACTCTGAGTGACTCTTTTATTAGAGCATCAGGCACAGAAGCGGGAGTGTTAACTCTTTTGGGAACTATGTATTAAATGATATCTAAATGTACTCTCCACCCACCAAATATCTTAGATAATGATAAAACTGCAACAGAAACACAGAGACAGGAAGTTAGTTGACTTGCTCTTTTCTTTTTGTCCTTCCTTCCTTCCTTCCTTATTTTTAATGGAACTAAATAAAGGATCTATGCCTTGAGGAAGGAGAGCAAGTATAGCTCAGGGATAATGTATTTGGTTTTCCTTACTAGTAATGGACTTTCTTGTTTGCCATTGGCCCTATCACTTCCTTTCCTATTAAACTCTCTCCAGGACACATTTTTAGGCTGTTAGTCTAGCTCTTTCTGGCATTTGAATTTTAACTCCTGTGGGTGACCAGGCTCAGAGTCCTCTACAACCCTTACCCCACTTTAGACCCCATGCATTCTGAAACTAAATTGGTTTGGCTTAAGTTTCTGCACCCAGAATAAGTTAATCATTCCTTTAGTAGTTGTCATCTCCTGGCCTTCTACAAACAATAGAATGTGGCATTATATATGTCCTAACTAACACACATAGTGGAATAAATGAAGTAACTTTTTCATTTTAATGTTGTGTCATGACACCGTAGTTTATCGATCTATTTTATTAATTTCATACAAAATACAATAATTGCTGATATTTATTAAATGTTTAGTCTAGTTAGCCATGTACTTGGTAGAAGAGAAAGAGCAAGCTTTAAATAGTGCAGTCAAACCTTTCCCTGGTGTGATTCCGTCCTGTGTGGCTGTTCTGTGGAACAGTAGTTGTTTCTCTCCGTCCGCCTTCTCTCCCACCTAAGTGCGTGCCACCACCTCATGGAAGATTCGATGGACATGGACATGAGCCCCCTGAGGCCCCAGAACTATCTTTTCGGTTGTGAACTAAAGGCTGACAAAGATTATCACTTTAAAGTGGATAATGATGAAAATGAGCACCAGTTATCTTTAAGAACGGTCAGTTTAGGGGCTGGTGCAAAGGATGAATTGCACATTGTTGAAGCAGAAGCAATGAATTATGAAGGCAGTCCAATTAAACTCACACTGGCAACTTTGAAAATGTCTGTACAGTCAACAGTTTCCCTTGGGGGCTTTGAAATAAACACCACCTGTGGTCTTACGGTTGAAATGTGGTTCAGGGCCTGTGCATATTAGTGGACAGCACTTAGTAGCTGTGGAGGAAGATGCAGAGTCAGAAGATGAAGAGGAAGAGGATGTGAAGCTCCTTAGTATATCTGGAAAGCGTTCTGCCCCTGGAAGTGGTAGCAAGGTTCCACAGAAAAAAGTAAAACTTGCTGCTGATGAAGATGATGATGAAGATGATGATGATGACGATGATGATGAAGATGATGATGATGATGATTTTGATGATGAGGAAGCTGAAGAAAAGGCTCCAGTGAAGAAATCTATACGAGATACTCCAGCCAAAAATGCACAAAAATCTAACCAGAATGGAAAAGACTCAAAACCATCAACACCAAGATCAAAAGGTCAAGAATCTTTCAAAAAACAGGAAAAGACTCCAAAAACACAGAAAGGACCTAGTTCTGTAGAAGACATTAAAGCAAAAATGCAAGCAAGTATAGAAAAAGGTGGTTCTCTCCCTAAAGTGGAAGCCAAGTTCATCAATTATGTGAAGAATTGCTTCTGGATGACTGACCAAGAGGCTATTCAAGATCTCTGGCAGTGGAGGAAGTCTCTTTAAGAAAATAGTTTAAACAGTTTGTTAACATTTTCCATCTTATTTCATTTCTGTAACAGTTGATATCTCACTGTCCTTTTTATAATGCAGAGTGAGAACTTTCCCTACCATGTCTGATAAATGTTGTCCAGGTTCCATTGCCAAGAATGTATTGTCCACAATGCCTGTTAAGTTTTTAAAGATGGAACTCCACCCTTTGCTTGGTTTTAAGTATGTATGGAACGTTATGATAGGACATAGTAGTAGTGGTGGTCAGACAAATGGAAATGGTAGGGAGACAAAAATATACATGTGAAATAAACTCAGTATTTTAATAAAGTAAAAAAAATAGTGCAGTCACAGGGGCACCTGGGTAGTTTAGTAGGTTAAACATCAGACTTCGGTTTGGGTCATGATCTCATGGTTCTTCAATTCAAGCCTCACTTCACACCCCGTGCTGGCAGCTCAGAGCCTGTAGCATGCTTGAGATTCTGTGTCTCCCTCACTCTCTGCCCCTCCCACGCTCTCTCTCTCTCTCTCTCAAAAATATATATAAAACATAAAAAAATTAAATGGTGCCGTCAATGAGGCCTCAACAAAAAGATAACATTATAACTGTTACTTGGATGATGTGAAGGACTTAATCATGTGGCTATTTGGGAAGGAATATTCTAGAAAGTAGCAGCTTGAGAGAAGGTCTTAAGGTGATAGCATCTCTGATGTAACCAGGGAACAACAAAAGTTCCTTGTGTTTCCAGCAGAGTGACTGATAGAGGACAGAGGAGAGGTACATTAAGTCAGAGTGGTGGAAGTGTGTATATTAAGTAGCAGATTGTGTAGACTCTTGAAGATCGTTGTTAAAATTCTAGTTTTTACTCTAATAAATAAAACTATCAAGTGTTGAGCACAGGATTGACATACTATTAATTATGCTATAAAAGGAGCAACTTAAGCTTCTTTTGAGAACAGACTATAGTGCTGCATTGGTACTGGCAGGAAGACCAGGTAGGAGATTTTTGAGGAATCCATCATCTCAGGTAAGAGATGATGTTGGCATACCATGGAGGTATTAATGAAAAAGTAATAATACTTAGGAGTCTGTTACATTTTGACCTGGGAGTTCTTTTATCCTCTTCTCCTTGCCTTCCTAGCTTAAGCAGGGCATTATTCAGGACATATCCAGACTTCTAATCTAAATCTCAAGCATCAAACAGGAATATGCATAGTTCAGTGATTTTAGACTTGATTTAAGCTGTGAAATTCTTAACAAATTTTCTTTATTTCTACATCATAACATGGAAAAAACCTGGAAGGTAAAAATCAATAGTCAAAATTACATGTCTCTTTTGGTGGTCCCAGAGCACTGAGGATAACTAACAAAATTCTGTTTCTTTAAATACCTTTTTAATATACTATATGTTTGTGAAAATATAATGTATTACCACCTAAATTATTCCTGGAATAAAAAAAATGATATGGAAGGGGCAATCAACTAGCTAGTATTCGTTGAATGTTCACTGTTTCTCAGCTTAAGTTATAAATGATAAGGGCTACAGAACAGTTCACACTCTAACCTGTGGCCAGGTAGTTCTTTTGCTGCCTTTACCTGAATTGACTCATGCCGCTGCACCCATGCAGCTAGAATCCTGGCTGGGCCCTGGTTTCAGCTAAGACAACTAAGATGGCTTGATTCTTTCCACATTTGGTGTTTGATGACTCTAGAAGGCTAGAGTGTGCTTCCTCACATAGTGGGAGCAATGTTTAAAGAGCTCAAGTCACAAAGGCAAGTGCTGCTCAATCCTCTGCTTGCATTATTTGTGCTGATGTCGCAATGGCGAAAGCAAATCCCATGAGTGAGGGGATCTCACAAGACTACTGTTAAAGAAATATATAATTCATTAGGTTCCATTTTAATAACAATCTACCATATTCTAACCTCCAGCTGTAGTGATTCATATCTTTCCCATACACAAAATATATTCGTCATCTTCTAAACACCCATGGATTTATCCAGCCATAACATCAGTTATGAAGCTCATGATCTTGTAAACAGAATCAAGTCTGGATATGGATGAGGCATTTGGGGTAGAACTCCTCTTGATCCAGATACTCATGACCTAAAAGAACAAGTTATTTGCCCTCCCATACTTAACATAGAACAATGAATCAGAAAGAGGAAACAGCAATAGACACTCCTATTCAAAAAGAAGAAGGAAGAGAACATAGCAGTTATTGGAGCATTGTGATAATAAAAGCCAGGCAGGCACTAATTATCATGGATCCCCATGCTGGGGGTGAGGAATGTTTCTTGCTTAGGGCACAGTTCTCCCTGGGAATCATCCTCTAAGCATTTTTCTCTGTTGCTCTTAGATCTTGTTTCTGAGAACTTGGTTCTGTATGAGGTATCTGACTTTTTTTTTTTTTTTTTTTAACTGGGAATAACCTCTATTTGTAGCTGAGTAGCTTTCTTAGCTTGCTCTTACTACATGGGGGAGTGATAGGCTCCTTTTCCTTTTAATCTGTCTCTATCACTTTTAGTCCAAACTGATACATTTCCTTAAAAATATGATGATCTTTCTATATGGTAGTTCATTCAATGCCCTTGAAGCCACATCTACAATTACTTTAAAGGTAGACCGCTTTTATTATTTTAGATCCTACAGTGACACTGCTTATACGATTCTTAGAAACTCTTTGTCTAGATGAGAATGTTTATTAGGTATCCCTTTAACTCTTTTTGAGGTCATAAAAAAGGGTGTTACAGCCACACTGCTGATTTGATAATTACCTTAAAGGAATATATTTTGAGAACCCTTTGCTGAAAAGCTGAATATGTGAAATAGTTGTATTTTCCAGCCAAGGAACTTCCTTACGTATTTTCTAAATTTACCTTGCAAGTTGAAATTCCTTTATAGTGCCCTTTTCTCCTCTCTTACTCTATCACATATAGCTAAAAGGACAATTGACACTTGTAATAGTCTAGAATTCTTAGCCAGATATACAAAGTATCATTGAGCATATTCTCTATTTTTCAAATACTGCAGAAAACAGTTTTATCATTGCTTCAGTGTTACAAGTCATCTTTCTAGCCTCTAACAGCAGATTTTTCACCAGTCTTCCAGCATCCACTGCTACTCCGTCCCAAAGCAGGTACCACAGCTTTTAGGTTTGTATTCATCAGCTGTCTAACTCTGGTACAAATTTCTAAATCAGTTCTCTGTTGCTTAAAGCAATAAAAAATTTATTTCTTAAAATTCCATGTGTTGGCCGAGTGATTTTTCTGTCGCTTTACCTTGTTTTCAGTCATGCAGATTCTTTCAGTTAGGATCTGTTGGGAGCTCAGCTCAGCTTGGCTGGGACAGTGGTGATGGCTGACTTCCTTTCAATGTGGTGTTTGATACTTTAGAAGTGTAGAATGGGCTTCTTCACCTGCCAGCAGTAGTATTTCATGAAGGCAAGCCCCTGTGTGTATGTGCTTTTCTCATTGGCCTAAGGAAGTCAATGATCAAGTCCATGTGGGAGGAACACACAAGATTTGGATACTGGAAATGTGATTCACTGGACTCCATTAGCATAACGTGGTGCTGTGTGATCTTTTTATTCCTTACTAATATAACAATGCTGGGCTATGTAATTATATAGAATCTAATAACAGGTGATAAAAAATTAAACTTTATTAAAATCCAGGCACTATATTTTGATATTACTTTTTCATATAAGGAAATAATTTCTGCTGTCAAACTCAACATCTTTCCTACCACAAAGATACTACTCCTTGTTTAACACAGATTACTTTCCATAGAGCACCTTAAAATGGAAAACAAATTTCAATTGACTTTGTAGATCATTGTTTCTAAATTTTGTCTTTGATTTTTTAAAAAATGTTTATCTTTGAGAGAGAGGGAGAGATAGTGTGAGCAGGAGAGGAGCAGAGAGAGGGAGACAGGATACGAAGCTGTCTCTTCACTGACAGTAGAAAGCTCAATATATGGGGCTTGAACTCAATAACCATGAAATCATGATCTGAGTAAAGTCACAAGCTCACCTGGCTGAGCCACTTAGGCACCACTAAATTTTCTCTTTTAATATGGGTACTTATTTCTGTTGAATTAAGAATGTCTAATAGCACTCAAGTGACCAGCACACTTTGACTTTGTGCCTTAGGTTAAATAAAAGGAATGGCAATTTTTATGATTTTTATTAATGTATTTAAATCTCATTTTTCTTCTTCTATAGAATGGGGATGATAATAGTATCTATATTATGAGATCACTGTAAAAATTAAAGTAATGCATGTGAGTGCTTGGTAGCACATCAGAGTAGGTGCTTATTAAACAAAAATTATGTTAAGGATTAGGACAAAGAGACCATCATACTAACTTGAGGGAACTAACTCTTAATCTACAGGATAGTTACAAGGGCTTTAGTTGGCTTTTTAGTAAAAGTAGAATTTAATCACCACTTTTAAATGAAATCTACAATATAGGGAAAGTGGAGAAGGTATAGTTAGGGGATACTACAAGAAAAATGTTGAGACAAAATTTCAATTTTTGTTTGAATTGAGATATATGGTCCCAAATTAGACAGTTTTCTGAATTTGGAAATCTTTTAATACATAGAAACTTTTTCTATAATGACACTAAATAGAAAATGTGTGTAAAGTAGATATCTGTGAATTTCCCTGAGCAATATTAACTCACATTGCTGTTGGTATTCGCATCTTTGTGCAGGTTTAGGTACTAATTCTATACTGATTCTATCTAATCTCTATTGGGACTGTCATTCAAAGGTGGTGTCATTTAAACTAGATCAACCTCTCCTCTCTTCATTTCTTCCCTACCCCTGACTCGCGATCCACCTGTCTCTTCTTCCACCTGCCTTTGGTCTATCTTTCTACCCTCCTATTCCTCTTTTCACTCATTACTTTCTAAAATTTGAATTTAAGTATAGTAAAAAAGAATAGACAGTGGACATTAGTTGGAGATTTCTTGCTTATTTTTGAACTTTATATCGTTTTTGCAAAGTTAGAATTTTGATTACCTCTAGGGAGAAATGATTGAATCTAATGAAGAAGAG